TAAGGTTCTTGCTACTTGTAGTCGGGATGGAAATGTCAATATTTGGGATCTCCGCTGCAAAGGGTTTGAACGGCCTGCGTTGCAAGTCCAATGCTCCCTAGAATCCGAAACCGAAAACGCCGCCACTACTGCACCCCCAAAGATGCTATACCCACATGTTCTAAATACCATTGAAGGTGCCCATGCATACACAACCTCTCATAAATCAACCATGGACAAGAATGAAGCGCCACCAATTGGCCGCACCGACATCACCGTTACTTCCCTCGCGTTTCTCTCGCCTGGCCGCGAAAATCTTTTTGTTACGGCCTCTGAGGCTAGCGCTAGTGTCAGACTCTGGGACTTGCGAACAGCGCATAATAATCGCCGTGGCCGACCCGTCATCCCCCTATCTACAACACAAGAGCCAGAAAGCCATGTGAAGTATCGACGCTTTGGCCTGACATCCATGGCGTTTGGAGGAGATGGCTCCCGCTTATACACACTTTGTCGAGATAACACTGTTTACGCATATTCGACATCACACTTGATTCTCGGACATGCACCTGAACTTTCGCTCAACAATAACCGTCCACGAAGGACTGGAGGCTCCGACAAAGACGGTCTTGGGCCTTTATATGGTTTCCGTCACCCTCGCCTCCAAATTTCCTCATTCTATGTCAAATTGGCAGTGCGCAAAGCAAGCCACGATCATCCGGAGATGCTGGCTACGGGAAGCAGTGACCACTGCCCCATTCTTTTCCCTACCGATGAACGGTACCTCAGATCCCCAGTGAAATCTCCAGCCGAATCCCTGCCTAGCAGGACTTCCCTTTTTACCACCCGCTCAGGACTTCGTCGCACCAACTCTGGAATCGGCTTGTCCGGCCGTCTCGAAGATACCATCCCAATTCACCAATCAGGTACTCCTCTCATCGAAGGTCATCAGAAAGAGGTCACTGGCCTATCCTGGACGCCATCTGGCGAACTCATTTCTGTGAGTGACGACTACTCCGCTCGATGCTGGCGTGAGGGGCCCGAGGCTCGCGAGCTTCGAAACGATGGTGAAACTGAGGGTAAACGCTGGATGTGTGGCTGGGCTGATATGAAAGACTCAATTGACGACGAAGACGAATGATTCCCCGGCGTCCCAGGTGCTTTTTACTGCTTTGCATTGCTCGAGGTGTCTGGATGTCCTCTTTTCTTCTTCCCTTTTTTTTTTGCCTGTGGGCATTTTACTGGCGTTTGGGAGGGCATATTAATTAGCGTAGCATACCCTTTATTTCGGGCTTATTTGTATTATCTGACTGGAACAAACATGTCCCTTTATCATCGAGATCAATCACTGTAATATGTAGTCTTCCAGTATGGGTCAATAACTAATACCCCTAAAGACGAATGTGAAGTAGAAATGGCCAGGGTAGTACGTCGAGGACCACGAGTCGCCCATATAGTGCGATAAGATAAGGCCGACCTCGAAAAAAAGTTCCGCTAACAACTCCAATCCTCAAATCTTCCACAGCAAAACCACCCAAAATGCCTCACAAACACAAGAGACGCGGCGAAGCCGATAAAGCGTGAGAATTAGAATTCTATAAGGTCTATTCAGAGCCCAAAACTGACGTTTCCTCTCGCGTCAGCCTCTTCGATCTTCCACCCTCAGAGATCGCAAAAGCACTTCCAGTTCGCGATTTGGACAAGCCCAAGCTAGGCAAGAACGGCAAAAAGCTCGTCAACAAGAATCAAGCCAAAGAACAAAAGCAAAGCGTCAACAAAGCACCCACCCACCGCTCCAAGAATGTCACCGAAGACGACACGCCGAGAGCATTCCGCCACCTAATGCAATACAAGCAGACGGGTCGACGGGCACCATCAGGACTAGAGACGGGCGAGCGCCCAAACAAGCGCAAGCGCAATGCCACAGAAGACGCCACAGCGTCATCGAAGAAGACCACGAAGGCAGCGGAACCGCAACCCAAACCCGCCGCCAAGGAGAAGACCGAAGTGCCTAAGATCATGCCTGGCGAGCGGCTGGCCGAGTTCGTAGCACGTGTTGACCGCGAAATGCCATTGTCACAGATGACCAAGTCGGTCAAAACGAGTGATGCCAAGAACAAGGAGCAGCACAAGCGCACGAAGCATGAGAAGCATCTGCTGCGATTGCAGAAAGGGTGGCGTGAGCAGGAGGCTAAGCTTCGGGAGAAGGAGCAGGAGGAGCGGGAAGAGCGGGAGGATGAGATGGAGGTCGAGTTGCGGCAGTGGAAGGAGTGGGAGATTGAGGCTGGTGGGAAGAAGAAGAAGGCTGCTGCTGCGAAGAAAAAGAAGGGGAAGAATGCCAATGGGGATGCTCCTGATAGCGGGGACGATGATCCTGATCCTTGGGCTAAGCTGAAGAAGCGTGACGAGGAGCGGAAGAAGAATCCATTTGAGGTTGCCCAGGCGCCACCTCAGTTGGTTAAACCCCGGGAGATCTTTAAGGTGCGTGGTGGGGCCAAGGTTGATGTTGCCAATGTGCCTGCTGCGGTTGGGAGTTTGAGACGCCGTGAAGAGTTGGCTGGTGAGCGGAGGAATATCGTTGAGGAATACCGGAAGTTGATGGCCGCCAAGCGGCAGTGAGGGATATAAACTAGTGGAATTATTTGTTTAGGACTATGAGTTTCATGTATCTACTTTGGGAGAAATTGGTTCATATGCAGTTGCAGCAGAAATGAGAATTTACTACTGCTGATCATCTATGTCACATCATATTACTGCCTTTTTTTTTGGGATTGGGGTAGTCAAATGAGCTTAGGCTTAGTGGCCGTGACCATCATCCTGCGGCTGCTCAGGGTCCAGCTTGATGATCGTGTCAATGCGCATGATGGATATGCAAGCCTCCACAGCACTCTTGAGCTGCTTAATCTTGCTCATGCTGGGCTCCAGCACACCAGCCTTCAGAGTGTCGTGAACCCGTCCCTTGGTCAGATCCAAACCGTAGTTACGGTAAGTCTTCTTCTTCGCAATGGCCTTCTCCTCCTCGTTAGCATCGCCGTCCTGCACACGCTGTGACAGGGCATGGCGGACACGGAGCTGAGCAACGAGCTCAGATGAATCTTTCGCAGCGTTGACTGCCAGAGTCTGAGGGATGACAAGGAGAGACTGTGCGAACTCGCCAATAGCCAATTGCTCACGAGAACCCTGTAATGTAAATGTTAGAAACCGATCCAGAAGAAGGTAACAGCGAACAATACTACTTACAACTGTGACTGCGAATTCCTCAAGGTAGATGTGAAGTGCGGTTTCCACGGCTCCACCACCGGGAACAATGCTTCCGCTCTCCAAAGTGCGCTTGATGGCACAGAGAGAGTCGTGAACAGAACGCTCCATCTCGTCCAAACTGTACTCGTTGGCACCACGGAGGATAATGGAAGCTGCAGTGTGAATCTTGGTGCCCTTGATCAGGATGCACTCGTCGTCCGAGATACGCTCTTGCGAGACCGACTCCGCGTGTCCAAGGTTTGATGCATCAAATTTCTCATCTCCGTTGAGGTCAGAGAGGGTGCTGACCATGGTAGCACCGGTGGCCCTAGCAATGCGGCGCAGGTCCTCCTTCTTGCAGCGACGGACTGCCATGGCTCCCTTCTCAACGAAGAGCTTGAGAACCATGTCGTCGATGCCCTTAGTCGTGAGGACAACGTTGGCACCAGACTTCAGGATCATATCAACACGCTCCATAACAATGCCGGACTCCCGCTGACGGATCTTCTCCAATTGATCGGGGTCCTCCACTGTAATCTGAACACCGAGCTTCATCCGCTCCTTCTGCAGGTTCATGTCGAGAATGGCGATCTTGGCGTCGTTCACGTGGGTTGTCATAGCCTGGGAAGCAACAGTGCAGTTCAACGCGTAACCGTCAACGAGTACGGACTCGTTGCCACTCTTTCCGTGGGCCTTAAGCAAGTTCACGGCCTTGACTGGGTATTTGACTTCGCCTCTCTGGTTCACGGACTTCACCTGCAGCATTGCATCCACACACATGTTCGCAAAGAAATCGGAATCAGAACCGATGATCTTGCTGGACATGGAAGTCTTCGCAATGTTGACCAAGCTCTCCTTTCCGATACTATCCACCTTAGTCGTAACATTTTCATTCATATACTTGACGGCTTCGCGCAGGGCGATTCGGTATCCGTTGATGATCGTGGTAGGGTGTATACGGTTCTTCATCAACTCGTTGCCTCTCCGGAGAAGCTCAGCGGCGATCAGAACAACTGAGGTAGTACCATCTCCGACCTATCGAAATTGATATGATCAGTGTGTGTTTCTGGGATGTGTGTCTGTTGTAGATGCCCATACCTCCTTGTCCTGTTGTTGGGCCAGATCAACGAGGATCTTGCCCGCAGGGTGCTCAATATCAAGAAGAGACAGAATAGTAGCGCCATCGTTCGTCACAGTCACATCCTGTCAGATGTTAGAAGCTGCGTTCAAGCTCTGCGGGGTTTATCATTTCCATACCCCTATGTCGTCCACCATCATCTTGTCCAAACCGGACGGACCGAAGGAGGATTTGATGACATTGGCGATCGCCTGTGTCGCCAGAACTGCAAGGAATCAGCTACCCACCCCTAGCAACGGCAAAACCATCAATAATTCGACATACCATTCTGCTCACGGACATCAGCACCGGTGATTTTCTGCCCACCCAAGACTGTGAGAGACTGGTCAGTTATTGCAATGAGAACGATGGGCGATCAGATAAAAAAACTAACAGAGCGTATCCGCATTCCGCGGCGCCTCAAAAATGCCTGCCATAATTAAAACAGACGATGTAATATGAGCTATTCGAGTGCGATGGCAGAGCTGTCTGGCTTGGGGGGGCTGCTGTGGGCACTAAAAGTTCTGCCGAGGCGGTGTGCTAGTAATTTTCGATATCGCATCCCACTTTACGGAGGGGAGTCATACCCCGATTTCGTTTGCTTGCAATCCGACCCGGACTTCCCTTTCTCCCCTTTCACTGTCTAGTCAGACACTCGTTCTTCAACATGGCTAGCCAGAATCCCAGCGACAACCCCGCCTTCGAGGGCGCTGCCCCTCAGACCCTGCCTGACCGCACTCAACCCCCCGCTGAAGACAAGGCGGGTGAGTCAAAGAATGCCGCCAAAAAAGCCGCCAAGCTCGCGAAAATGCAGGCCGATAAGGCTGATAAGCAGGCCTCGAAGAAGGGAGAGAAGGGTATCGGCAAGCCAGAGGCCAAGAAAGCTTCTAAGAAGAAGGTTGATGGTGCCGCTTTGATCGGTATTGATGTCTCGAAGGAGGAGGACTTCTCCGGCTGGTATCAGCAGGTTCTCACCAAGGGTGATTTGCTGGACTACTACGATGTCTCGGGTTGCTTCATTCTCAAGCCCGCGCTGTTCTTCATCTGGGAGGAGATCCAAGAATACTTCAACAAAGCGATTAAGGGAATGGGTGTCAAGAACTGCTCTTTCCCTCTGTTTGTGTCTGAGGATGTCCTGCAGCGGGAGAAGGACCATATTGAGGGCTTTGCCGCTGAAGTCGCCTGGGTCACTCATGCGTATGCTGTCCCTTAACCCTATAATGCCTTTTTCAATTGAACTATACTGACATATACTCCCAGTGGCTCGACCCCCCTCGAGAAGAAGATTGCCATTCGCCCTACTTCGGAGACTGTGATGTACCCCTACTACGCCAAGTGGATTCGTAGCCACCGTGATCTCCCCCTTCGTCTCAACCAGTGGAACTCAGTCGGTATGGTATCCATTGTTTCTCCATACTCTCGAAATGTTGCTAACGTCAGTAGTGAGATGGGAATTCAAGCACCCTCAGCCACTCCTCCGTTCACGAGAGTTCCTGTGGCAAGAGTAGGTTTTTGACTCTTATTTCTGTTCAAAATGGCATACTAACAATTCGCAGAGGTCACACCGCTCACCTGACTGAAGGTGCTGCCCGCGAGGAAGTCTTGAGCATCCTTGACTACTATGCCAAGATTTACGAGGAACTCCTTGCCGTGCCTGTCGTTAAGGGCCAGAAGACTCAGAAGGAGAAGTTCGCCGGTGGTAACTACACCACCACTGTCGAAGGTTACATCCCCGCCACTGGCCGTGGTATTCAGGGTGGTACATCCCACGGACTGGGCCAGAACTTTAGTAAGATGTTTGGCATCACCGTTGAGGATCCCACCTCTACGGTCGATGAGAAGAAGCCCCCTCTGCACGTCTGGCAGAACTCCTGGGGTCTGTCGACCCGCTCACTGGGTGTCATGGTCATGATCCACAGTGACAACAAGGGTCTCGTCCTGCCTCCTCGTGTGGCGGAGCTCCAGGTTATCATTGTCCCAGTCGGTCTCACAGCCAAGACTACCGAAGAGGAGCGCGAGAAGCTCAATGCCGAGGTCGACGGTCTCGTCGCCGTTCTCGTTGCTGCCGGCGTCCGTGCCGACAGCGACAAGAGCAGCTACTCCCCCGGCTGGAAGTTCAACCAGTACGAGCTCCGCGGTGTGCCTCTGCGCCTTGAGTTCGGCCCCGGTGAGTCAGCCGGTCACTTTGTTACCACCGCCCGCCGTGATATCCCGGCAAGGATGGCAAGGGCAGCCTCCCGATCCCCGAGCTGGCTACTGGCGTTCCTGCGTTGCTTGAGACCATCCAGTCTGACCTGTACAAGCGCGCCAACGAGCAGTTCAAGGCTCACCGCATCAAGATTACCAAGTGGGATGACTTTGTTCCCGCTCTGAACAACAAGAACATCTGCGTTATCCCCCACTGCTTGACCGAGGAGTGCGAGGACCAGATCAAGGACATGAGTGCCCGCAAGGCCGAGGAAGACTCCGGCGAGGCTGAGGATGCTAAGGCCCCCAGCATGGGTGCTAAGTCTCTGTGCATTCCTTTCGAGCAGCCCGAGGGTCTTGAGCAAGGCGTTACTCCCTGCTGCAACCCCAAGTGCCAGCGTCTTGCTGAGAAGTGGTGCATGTTTGGCCGTAAGTTTCTACTCCCCTGGTTTTTTCTCCCCTACAATTCATGGCAAGACACTAACTATCTCAATACAGGCTCTTATTAAGCTATTACGTTGCATCCAGATCAGGACTTTCGTCTGCTGCCGCCAAAACTACCATGCAGTCCGAAACACCAGTGGTCGCTACCACCGAGTATTGAGGGCATTGTATTTTGCGACACTCTCCAGTGCATAGTGAAACAAAAGTCGGAGTATCAGACTATATGGCATTTTCTTCTGTGGGTTCCAAGGCGTCCCTTCAATATGTTGACTTGTCAATGTGGAGTTTAGGGGGGAATGGCAGGTAGTGGCAATGATATTATGAAAATGAGACATGTCATTATTGCTTTTCTATGATTTCGTTTATTCCTCTGTGTGGCTTTTTTGATATCGGCAATCCCGTAAACTAGTATCGCACTAGTAGTAAATAGCACATATATAAATAGCACAAGATATCAGCCCAGGAGGATCCCAAATCCCGAGAGCAAAACGCTGAGCCTTTACACCCAACGCGAAACAGAAAGTTGATACTCCGTACCAGAAAGGAAAACAGTAAAAAAATGATAGAATGAATTGACCACAGTACTTACAGGATAGCGGATAAACTGAAATAAACTGAAATTGGCAAAGACTCAATTCATGATGGAAGAGACAATTATCTGTAGAACGAATAATAGGATGTTGATAGATGCAGCAAACGCTATGGAGTTTTAATATACTGGTAATAATAACGACAAGAATATTGACACGACAGGAACTCCGGCCAAATCATGCAACCACGGTATTAGGACAAGAGAAGGAAATAGTTTGAGGTTGGCAGGGTCTGAGACAAGACAAGTGAAAAATAGATATGGTGAGAGATAGACTAGGGTTAATATAGACGGGATATATGGATACAATGTGTATGAGTTGGACAGAGAGAAGGATTGAGCGCCGCTATGTCGGAGGTCGATTCGACAGGGCCAAGAGAAAATGAGTGGAAAGGACTGGAAGGCTTTTTTGGAGAAAGCAAGAAAGCGAGAGAGGGAGAAAGTCATGAGAGCATCGTTATCATGCGGCAAAAGAGAAACATCCCCGCCTGGATTGGTGAATCATACCAAAAGAACGTTGATTCCATCCTAATAAGCCTCAACCGAGCGCGAACGAAGCTGCATGCGAGCACGAGACAACGGCGACAAACTATTCCCGTAGTGGTTGGAGGAACCACCGCGGCGAATCTGCTGCGGCCAGTACATGAGTTTCTGCGCCTCATCAGGCGAAGCAGCATCGATGACATAGCGGACGTTGTTCTCGTCGACACCTTCAATCTGCACACGCGGCGGGGGAGTCGGGTTGGGCAGGTGAATGATATCATCGTCACTGTCTTCATGCGAGGTATTACTCGAAGGAGCTGAGTGAGCTTGCATGCAGTAGACTGTCGCGGGGGCAAGAGGCACATCAGGGGGCGAGCAGGGCATGGTGGCGAGGTTGCCGGTGGATTCCGATTGTCCTCGTTTGCGGGATACAGAAGGCCCTGCACAGCCGCCGGTTGAGATAGGTCGCTGTTCACTGCTTGCGTGCAGCACGTCCAGGTACGTGATTGGCTCTCCGGATCCGGGGCGGGTGATGATGGGGTCTTTGTGGGGTTGGAATTCGGCCAGGAAACCTGGGGTTGGGGCTGGGGCGTCGGTGTGTCGACGGCGAGTTGGGGAGGAGACTTTTCGTAGGAGGCGGTCGTAGCCGACGCTGGTTGAGATGCTACGGCGGGTTTCGGGGTTTCTCTTGTGCTTGTACGAGTTCTTGCTCATGAGGCGGTTCTTCGCTGAGAGGCTTCGGTGGAGTGCGGTTGATGGTCTGGAATCGTTGCTGAACTCAGCTTGGTCTGACGAGGGTGTGAATGGAGGCCCTGGGGCAGGTACGGGGACTCGGCGGAATGCCTCGTGGGAATTGACCTCGCGGACTATGGCGTCCTGCAGCGTCTCGTAAGTTGGGTGCGAGCCTTGGGCGGACGTATAAGCCTTGCTGAAAAAGTCCATCATGTCCGAGGCTTTGAAGCGTGAAGATGATTTTGGGGGACTGATTGGACTGGGAACTGGCAGAGGACTGTTCATGACTTCTGCAATGCTAGGAGCCTGCTTCCATTCGCAGGTTGAGGGTGTTGGCGGCTGGATGGCACGGTGCGCAATCTTTGGGCGTCCTTGGGCAGCTAACTGCGTATTGATGGAGAGACCTCGCGCGTTCTTTTTAGAGCTTAGCTCTGATAACTGTGGCGGAGGGAGCGATCTTTGTGTCGTGTGAGCTATGGTAGCAGGTGGTCGTGGCACCGAAGGAGCCTCGGCGGCGCCAGCACTATCACCCATTGGGGTAGGAATTGTAGGACTGTCAGGCAGAGGAGTGTTGCTCCACCTTTTGCCTTGTTTGTAGGCAGGAGGAACACCCAAGCGCTGGACAGGAGTTGGGGGTGCATCTTCTTGAGGGACAAAGCCTTCGTCCGCAGACAGGCTCGGTGCAGATCTCCGGGGTCTAAGGTAATTTCCAAGGTGGGACTGTGATCGTGGAGATGAAGTGCCCGAGCCATCGTCTGGGGAGAGCTTTGTCCGTAGATTTTCTGCTGATGCCCAGCTAGGCTTCCCTGGATCCCGCTTCCTGGCTTTGCGCCGTTGGCTTTCTGGAATCCGTACTCTACCAGGCGCAGCTGGCGATGACCGAGAACTTAAGTGAGACAAAGAGAGATCGGGGCGGCTATATTTCGCAATGTTTCTGTCGGCCACATCCTCTTGGTATAGGGCCGAAAGTATACCCGACCTGGCGAGTCCATTCCGATATTGAATCCGTAGAAACCGGGTCATGTTTCGTTCCGCAACATCTTCATTGTATGCGCTGGCAGGAGGAGAAAGTGGTTCCGGGGTAGTTGCTTGATTGTGCTCCGTAGAGCATAGAGCAGCCATCAAGTCGATATGGCGGCCATTTTGGGGTTTGGGTGGCGCGAAATGAGAGCTGAGAGGCCGTAGTTGGGATTGAGAAGATGTCGGCCGTTCCAGTCGATCATGTAGATCTTCGAATTGCTTCTCGATCTGATCGAAATGATGAGCCACATCTAGTGACCGCGAATCTCTGGATGAGAAACCGCCCTCAAAGTGACTTCGTGTAGGCGAGTCAACCGCCGTGTGAAAATAGGGTTGATCTATGTCACAGCCCTCGAGTCCAAGGCTGGTTGCCGGGCGAGAAGCCTTGTCCGCCAGGAATAGTCTCTTCAGTCCAACCATGTTGAAAATTCGAAGTAGATAGTAGAATTGAAGTAGATATCAAGCGCAAAAGCGGTGCGCAATTGGAAAACGAAGGGCAATGGTAGTGTAGACGGGAGAAATATAAAATAGAATAGTGTCAAGCTAATGATCAATGGAGCGACGAGACCAGCGGTCATCAAGGATTGAACAAGTTGATGTCATGGCATCCAAGCTCGAGGAATTGAAGACCATCATATCATAGTGGAAAGGGAAAAATAAAGAAAGCCAAGTCAAAGACACACAAAGTTCCCAGAAAAAAGTAGAATAGGGCTCCAGTACGGAGTAGTTATCCTGTCAAAGCAGGGTGCAGATCTACCGGTCCTGTGTCTGGATCAGGGGGGGAAAGACCCGGTCTTCTCCATCCTAAGATATGAGGCGTGACGGTTCCAACGCTAAAATTTTAAGGATAATCGTTGTATGCCTTTTTTCTTTGTTTGGAAATTTGTCTCGGTAATTCCCGGCAATTGCAGCTCGAAGTCTTTCTATCCCTTTCGAGTCTTGAGAGACATTTTTCTCCAACACTATCTTGCTCAAGAGCTGCATCAGAATGGGATTCTGCAAGTGGACATTTCCTTCTCAGAAAACGTTTAGGCTGCATAATAGGCTGAGAGCCTGAGAGCTGCCCCATCCGAGGCAATGATCCACACGTGAAGTTTTTTTGACAGGATCCATCTCGCTGGGTGATGGGCGAGAATCTTCTCCGGTGACTTCCCAGAGACATCCACTATGGATCGTGCGCCAATCAGCGATTCATCGGGAGGTTCGAATACCTAATTATGTCGAACGGGAGAGAGCGATTGTGGATTGGGGGCTTGAATTGTGGCATACGATGGAGCTTCCAATTTCCGCGCAAGCCAGTCATTGGTGCGACGAGGTGATCGCCAGACCGTGAGCCGTCTATATAGCGGGGACACACGAACCGAACACCATTTTTGGACCGGGCTGTGATTATTTTTGAATACTAAAGTCGGATGGAGCAATCCGAAAGGCTGATTTGGAGGGATTCAAAGAAAAAGCAAAAGTTAGAGGCGGATCTCGGATTCCTTTCCGTAGTGTGTTGTTGGACGTACGAAGTACGGGGTACTACCGAGTATGTTGTACGTAGTGGTATGTCGTACTCTGTTCGCTCTCAGGGGCAAATTGAGCCGATCTTTCATGTTCTTGCGAAAAATAAAATAAAAAAAACGCTCCAAGTGGAGTTCTCGACTCGTTCAAGTTCTATTGTCCGTAGTCTGTCCTCCGTACTTTGTGCAATAAATTGTACCATGTACGCATCGTGTGTTGTTCATCGCGAACTCCTTAGATCCGATGTCCCACGATCGATCGATTCCGATTCCATTTTCTCGATTCCGATGGGTCTCTTGTACTAGATCGTCGTAACTTGATTAAGGGGGAGCCATTAACCGTCGAACGTTGAACTCCATCCCTTTTTTCTTGGCCTTTTTTTTAGAACATAAAAATGCATTGTCTAATTCAATTTGACATCTATTATCCGTAAACATGTGCAAATCTACGGAGCACAGAGTAGCTACCCCGACCATACTGTATGTATTATACCCTGTACGAGTAACTGCAATGAAGTCCACCTTTAGGTACATAGTTTGATCTCTTCGATGGACAACGCCGAGAAAAAAAAAGACCTGCAGAAAGACATAATGCTGACGGAATATCAATATAAAAGCGAGTAGGAACTTGTTGAAAGCTTAGGCCATCTGTCTGCAACCCCACCGAGCCTACGGAGTACTTTAAGAATGATGCTACTAGTAGTGGCATATGTGTCGCGTGACTGGATGGATGTCA